GTGTACGCAGTCGACTCTCATACAGTGTTCAATCCGGGGAGATCACAACGAGCGAACTAAGGAAAAAATGAATCGATCTGGCATAATTTTCTCAAAAGAATAAAATTGATGCAAAAGACAACAAAAGTTTATGTCTGTACTTAATAAAATCTACAAGTGAAGACACTTTAAGGATACAAAGTACCTGATAGAGAACTATGATGGTGATGCGTTGATAGTATATTTATTTATGTTTAGAATTAATATGAAGTTATTACGAGGATACTGCAAAGTATGCACGAAGACAGTACAGCGGAAGTATCGACCGACGCGCAGCGTGTGGCGTTACGGTGACAGATGTGTAATAATGAATATTAGCTCGTATTACAATTTAAACGGGGAGGAGTGAGCAGTAATACTAAAATGTACTGAATGCTTAATCGTATGTCTATTATCGGTTTTTACTATAACCAAGACTTTTCATTCATCTATTTACAGATATATCAGCGCTATTTTGAACCAGTGTAGTAATCACTTACATGTACATGGCGCCACTCGACATTGACACTCCACTACTCCATGGGTCCACTTTCGTTTCTGTGTTGACGACATTAAAAAACAAATTGAAACATTTCATTGGTAATGTCGATAGAGGGCGTACTACATAGATACAAGTCGTCGAAGCGCAACGAATTGCTTGACCAGAAAGTGAAAACAGCTTTTAAACGTACAACAGTATGTGTACTACAGAATAAAATAACATCACGTACGATTTGTATTAAACTACATGCATAGTTTATTGGTATTCAATAGTCTTGCTCGCTGTAACCTAGTCAAAGTGTAACTAGTATATGCTATCACGGGTCCCTAAATAGTATAGAGAGATGTCACACTGCGTACAAGAACTAACAGTTTCCGTCCGTTATCGCACAACAGGCTTCGGATATATAGAAAAAAAAAACCCACAAAAGTTTAAATTTGGCTTCAGAACTTATGAGACCCCGTCAATAACGCAAATAAACGAATTGAAATTGCACCGTATGGGAGTCACGAGTACAGATTACCCGTGAGTCTTTGCAAGCGGAATTAAATACAGAATTGTTTACACCTACACCAGGTTGAACAGCTACAACTTGGGCCATAGTTCACTTGATGATTAGACTCCACCCTGTCGCTATGCCAACACGAGTGCTGATTAACTGATTATCCTTGGCTCACTTCCAAAGCTGGATATAAGAAAAAATAGAACTTTGTAATAAGCAACATGTAATAACTATATATATACTATTATACTAGTACACATTTTAGAAATCCATTGTTTACGTGACACCGCTTTTCCGTGTTGAAGTGTTAAGTATATGCGTCCTTGCGTTCTGGTTCATCGTGAACTTCTGTATTGAAAAAAAATAATGGTTTTGATAATGCTGTGTATATGTGTGGGGGAGAGGGGTCGGGAGATAATGGAGACGTGCTTTGGTAATTTGACGTTGTCTGGGGTCAGTTGTTTACGTTTTTCTCGTCCCCTTCTGGGAACTATTTTACTTCTGTCTTCGGTGCTTCTTTTATCGCCATTTTGTTGTTCTACAGATGACATCACAGCGATTAGCATAAATTAATATCGGCTGTCAAAATATTATTCTGGTATAGTTTTAATCATTTTAGACTGACGCCATTCCCTCAAATTCTCCCCTGGTATGTTCAGTGTGCTAACCTTGTACCGGGACCTATGAATGTATTGCTATGCGAGACATTACCACAGACCAAATATTTATAACGATGTGACAGTTATACCCATAGGTATATTATGTTGCCATGGCGATGCAACGCATAAACACGTGATGGAGGTGCAGCCAAGGCTCAATTTTTCCAAATAATTGCTGGCAAAAAGTAATTATTTTATTTGAAAGTTGAATTGACTATTTCAATTCAAAAGGAGAAGATATTCGTTTTGCCCTCCAACTATACTTTTAAGTGTACTCCCCAATGCATACAGTTCTCAAATCTATGCCATCTATCCACACTGTTTTTCTTTTCTGAACATGAGAATGGTATAGTACCCACCAGCAACATTATAAAGTTTCTATGCCCTCGCAACATCGTGAACCATCCCAATAAGTTGCGCCCTCTAGCGACGAAGATGACGTCTATGACGTAAATAAGCGAGCAGAAATTCGTTCGAATCATCGCACAGAATTTTGATTTGTTTTCGCTAATACAAAATAACATTTATTATGTTCTAAATGACTTCTTCACCAATCAATGTTTAAAACAACATTGTTTCACTGATTTACGTCATTTTGACAATTTGTCGTTAGAGGGCGCGAGTGGCGAGAAAGATTTACTCAGGTGGTACCTGGAGTTGGTCACGTAGAAGAGAAGGAAGTACGTTCGCGATAACACATGTAATATACCTTGGAAGAAATGCAACACTCTCCGCTGTAATCAAGTCAGTCGACAAATAGGAAAGCACGTCCTTTACGTAAACTTATCAAACTGGACTAGATTGTTGGTAGTACCTTTGTACTTCAATACGCAATTCTCTACCACTGTTCAAGTTATAGTCATTGTAACCGTGGTTTCTATGTAGAAATAACGACCGCACAATTTATCCACCCCAAAACGTAATGCGTACCTGACACAGATATGTCGACAGTTGTAAACAGCAGAAATATACAGCACGGCAGAAACACGCAAACTGTGCGATAATAATAATTTTATAATACGTCACTGTGACGTAAGTTAATATTCGACACCACCGTTAGACTGTCGAAAGTCCCTTTGGAATATTTTTTTTCAACTAAAATGCTTCAATCCAATGCTGCAATGCGTTTGCGAAATGTCGAAGGCATTTCAAACGAGTGCATTTTATTAAATTATTTCAGTTAAAAACAAACCTTAGGCCAAACGGGGACTGTCGACTATCTACACCACCGTCACAACACAGTCGTCCGTATGATATACCGGCTACGGTTGCCATATGTGTGAGTAGGCAAATCGAACGATACAATATGTATTTGGACAATTTGAACCACCACGCCTAGGTCAAGTTGTCGCCGTAATGATCGAGTGCGATTGACAAAACGGGCATGACACTGACCTTATTGTTGTCTATCTGCTCACTGCTTAAAAAAATCCGCCGATGGACAAAATACAGGAAAATACAAATACACAAGCTGGAATAGTCTAAATGGAACGATGAACGGCAAATATAAAATACAAGCTCGTCGTGACACGGATCCACCCTACGATGAGCACCGAATGTAAACAACTTTGACATGAAATAGACATGTGACGCTTATCATGATCGTTACCATGGCTGCGTAAAAATGTGTCAAATCTCGGTGTTATCCAAAACCCATCACTGGCGGTCACGTGAACGACAGTAACTAGCGTACCTCGTCGTGAGGTAGAAATGCAGCGCGTAAATACAAATAATGAATTTACAACAAATGAACAAATTGAAATAAGTACAATATACCAGCGTCGTCATGGCAGCATCACAGACGGTTGTACATTACAGTTGACGGTTAAAATCTGGTCAACAATTAAACAATTGTCATTGTAAGTTAGACATACGTGATTATGAATTATTATAACATCGAATATTTTGTTTCTTACCACAATCCGTCGCCATAATCATTTCCACACCGCGACAGCCCAAATGCGAACATGGGTGATAGATAGTAGTTTTTGCCAGGATTGGTAATTTATGCAATAGTTATCATTTTCCGCAACATACCCCTTTCAATTACACTGAAATTGTAGAGTGAAGTTATGTATCTTTGGTACAAAATGAACCCCATTCCATACACTTTTCCCAGAAAGAAAACACTATTCAGACATGTTGTTCCAAAAGAGAACCCATTTCAGAAACTGTACCTAAATAGGAACCCATTCCAGACACTCTCTCTCCCTTAGAGCCAATTTCAGAAATTTCGATTCTAAAGAGAGCCCATTTTAGACACTTTGTCTCAAAGGAAACACATTTCAAACACTTTACCCCCCCAAACAAAGCCCAATTTCAGATACTTTTCCTCAAAATGAAACCCATGTCAACCACTTTACCCCCGAATGGAGCCCATTTGTTGATCATCCGTACACAGCTTTCCAATAGAAGTAACACCTCTCCAGATGGAGCCCGGGACGACGTCTAAAAAGCATGTTGAAACTTAGCTTTTCAAAAAAGTTCATGACAACTTGAACAACTAGCCTCACTAAACGGTACATCATACACATTATAAGACATTTATGTGGAACTTGCGGAATATATTATCTGTGAACTCATTACTAGTAGATGAAGCACACACACAGGAAATGCAGTTTTTTCTACAAAGTTGTGTTGAAGTAATATTAGAGTTCAATTTAATCAATAATACGAACGTGCTAGCACTTAACACCTGTGTTTTCTATTCCAGGTGTTTTTTTGCGTGACGGCATACACTTAAAATATTACACGGTCATAAAGTAAAAAAACATATTCTGTAATTCAAAATAATGAATTTAAGAGAAAAAAAAATATAATACAAGTACCATATTTTATAAACAAATTGACAAAATTATTTGGAAAATACATATTAAGAGATTAATAGACCTACGCAATGTTAAACTTGATTACTTGACTGTTAAACAAACAAATATAATAAAACCCAAAGAGGTAATTGGCAATCGTGGTCGTTGATTGTTATTCAAAACAACCAGATGTGTTGGGAAATTCCGAACGCTCGGCTCGCCGGCCGGGTAAATGTACTGCTGGTAAATGTTCTTTGCCCGAAACTCCTGGTTAAAGTGAATAATTACTGAGTACTGAGGACTACGTTCATTAGCTACGTGTATCGCTTTCTAAGTAATGATCGAAGGTCGTCCATTGACTACCAATAGTGACTCTGTAACATACGTGATAATGTTATACGGGGCTGCCTGGTTTTCCGTAACAGACAAGTACAAAGAATATGACATGAAATTAAAAACGTGATAGGTCAAGGGGTCACAGTATACCCAAATAAGGTGAATGAGACGCATCTTTAATTGTCCAGGACTACTCCCTGACCGTTGAGTGTTCGGACTTCCTTCTCCAGTTGGCAGGCAGCGCAAGGTGCACACCACGTGAAGGCACAGCAGTCACCTAATAATGAGCCCTGCATTGAACCAATGTGAACAAATAATGTTACTAATAATCAGTGAAAATCATTTTTTGAGCAATTGACAAACGGCAAACGCAATTTGCAAGTCTTAAAATAAAATCATACTTGCTTAGTTATGTCGTTTTTGAAGGGCGCAAATACATCGCTGATTTTAGAAGGATATACACAGGCGGTTTGCATATAAGCGCGAATTTAATTATAATCAGTATATTGTGTCAAAAATCAAACAGATGAGCTAAAAAAAAACACACACACAAACAAGATTGTTGCTTAGGTATATGCTTTGATTGAAGTTTATTTCTCAACTATGTCATTCTCACTGGCATTGTCACTAGAGGGCGCAATTTTTAGGAAGGTGTATTTTCCGATGTCAATCATACGATAAAGATCGTAGATATATTAGTCAATGTGCGTTCACAAAATGTTACTCAAAATAAGACGAGGTTATGGACACTGTAATTGTAGGAGTTCTCTCGTATGTGACAGAAAGCCAGGCGGTGCTCATTATGGTCGTTACGCCAACAACGACAGAAATGGTAACATTCACGAATTTGAAAAGGTAGGAAATGTGATAATGACTACATGTGATGATAATTGTTCCTGTAGATACACAATAAAGAATAATTCCGAAGAATTATTCGATGAAAACGGTATAGTTGTCCCACCTTGGTTGTGGTCAGCATTCGTAACTTCATTCGTAGCGGCGTTCCCACACAACAGGGCGCCATCATCGGCAGACAACAAGCTTCTCCCAGTTTCCCGGCGGTTCTCGCAAGCAGACACGGGTAACAGAATGCACCACACAAACCTGATAATAAATATTCACCAGATAGTTAAAGGGCGATGGTCTTCGCGCTGCGCATGCGCGATGTTAAACATTTATTTTATCACAATCCAATGCGCTCTTCTAATGGAAGTCACAAGTACGTGAATGTGAACTTATTACCACCGGTGCTACTTCGATACGTTCCAAGCATCAAATAAATTACCTAGTTAAGGCTTGGCAACATTTCAGTTTGTACTCTACGTAACAGTCAAAGTCGTCATCTTTGTTCATATGAGACCCATATCTCGCGCATGCGTGGTGCGACGACTACCGGCTTTTAAACTCGACAATGTATATATTTAAGAAACGTGTTCATACTACTAATTTATTTTAATTCATAGTGCATCCACTTCCGCGTATTTGTTGTTCAAACTCTAAACTATGTATTAGGAGCCTGGATGGCGTTATATAGGTTTAGAAATTATGACAGAACACGTGAGCGAGCGAAAATTAATTCCAAGCAAAAATAACCCATTTTACAGTATTCAGACATCTAGGTTTGACTCCACGGTTACATTGTGTATCAAGACACATGGGGATGAAATAGAGTTTTGCTAACGGATGGTATGGATGGTATGTTTATCTTTCAGAATGTTCATTTAATATGAAACTAGAATAATTGTCCATTGCCTTAGGTTTGTGATTGGAGTTTTAGCGAATACTAGCTTAAAATAGCGGATTGATACATTCAGAGTGTGCAGTCATCTGTATAGAGTTATATAATATTCTAATAGAATTGTATCTGCGTCATTTTTTGGATTTTCAACATCTGTAATGATTGTTTAATATTTAATTTTGAAAACTATACAAATAATTTTTTTTTTTTTTTGTAAAATTATGGGTAGTCGATCATTTCAAAGCTTATTTATTGTTCTCGGGGCGGAGCTACGTCACATGATGTTCCACGCCGGCGTTGCTTGGATGCGCGCCACTGTACCACGTATTCCTATAGGGGGGGGGGGTGTACGTGAGCTACTGTGTGAAAACAGCTAAAATCAAGGAAACAGCACAAACTACAACTTTAGGATAATTCAGAGCAACTAAATTTATATATGTTGCACATAGTCTTTTTACACTGTTCAGGAAAGTCTCAACAACTATCCCAAAGTATAGTTCCCTGTGAGTTTTCGTGTGTTTTTTTTCACCGATGATTGTTGCCAGGCGGATGTCCACCCAGAGAATAAGCACAGTAGCACAGTTTTAATGTTAATAAGCTGTTCGTTGCCATGTAAACCGTAAATTTTGCTCGACATAAATGCATGTCAGTAGAAGTTGAGTTCAATGTGGTATTTTTTACATACTAGTAGGTATACACTTTGTCTTTATTTATGCCAATTAGAAATAAAAAAAGAACAAAATACGAGAAAAGCAGTAACTTACATATCCTCTTATTGTCACAGCATTGCAACAAACCGATGTGCCAATTCCTGGCTTTTCGTCCTGATGTCTTTGCTTGAACAACGACAACCTGAAAGACGAACAATAACCAATGGATTTGTATTCAGTACCCGCTTTGGATGATATCGCGTCCACCCTTCTATGTCATGTTTAAGACTTAGTTGTTTTATATAACAGTAAATGTTAGCTAAATAGTTGAAGGATTGTCCCGTGTGGCAATAACATGTGATATACGCCCTCTAACGTCGAAACGCTTCCGTGACGCAAATGGATGAAATAGACGACTTTACAAACGCATGTGTCGCTTTGAATGACATTGCTTCCACCTGTCTGTGTCATGTTTAAAACTTAAACTTAAACATTAGTCTGATTCAACCACACTAGTACTAGAATACTAGTAATTGGTAATAGCTTGAAAGTTTTGCCAGTAAAGTACTCCGTCTAGATGTGACACATTAGTCATCAGTCTGTCAGCTGATCTACTTAATCTATGTAAGACTTATTCTGGCACTACAATAAATAAAAAAAGTTTGAAATGCATCTCTTGCATTAACATTTTTAAAAATAAAAAAAGAAATAACATTTGACCTAGCCCACTGACACAATTGTTTCAGTTTGTACCGTGATCTTTTTCTATAATCGCGCCGTCTAGCGACTAGACGTGACTCGAAGGACGTTCAAAGCGTCGATTTCGCTTTGATTTGTGGGTGTTCGTTAATGAAAATTATGTTTTTGAGAGATTTTACCATATTCCCGATGACAAACACGATCACACACATATGTCGACTAAAACGACGTTGCCTTCATCAATATATGTCATTTTGACGTCACAGTAGCGCTCCGTCGCTGGAGGGCGCGTTTTATGGGGATGGTGCATACGAAAGTCTTCAGAGACTCCGATGTGCATGGACTCCGGGAGCAAAGTTGAAAATTATCGAAAAGAACGAGTGTACTTTACCTGTGGTTGTGGTTGACGCGTCAGGGGTTCAGTCATTGTGCTACAGCATTGAACAGAAAGCGTATCAGTGTGTAAGTGTGTAATTCATTTCGGAATACATACTTATAACTTTAAATACTGAATTCCAATGTCAATGTCATGACGAGAATTGTCATTCACATAAAATCTTACATGATGACAGTTTGTGTATCACCCGGACGAAACACTACGTTGTGAGCCTGAGCAAACCCTGGATACACTGACCAACAAGCCTGTACTGTGCTACTTTTGCTCCAATGCAACGGCGTACTGTCTGAGTGCATACTTTGCGGTATCCTCGTAATAACCTTATTATTATACATTTTTTTTCCTCCCAATGATACATCATGGGAATGCCGAAAAGTTTAGAACAGAATCAGCGAACTTCTTTGTGTGGATTCCGGTCAAACCCTGGTGGCAGCCATGTTTGTTTTTATTATTAGAGAACGCTTACGCGCGTAATCATTCCATATTTGGAATTCACATTTCCCAATATGGTAGGATGAAAATATCCCGTAAAATACCGCAAAATTACGACACGCTGTAACTTATCTCTGCTCCTCTATGTTGCATTGACCTCACATGACTATCTTAATACGTAGCCTGCACGACTTTTAAAATAACGGACAGCCGCAAATATGCTTTTGTCAATTCCACGGCATACCCGAATCATATGCGATACCTACGACTATACCCAACACTAACCTTAACTTCAGCCGTTTGATATACGTCTTTCCAACACAAAGAAACTATCAACTGTAAAGCAACCGACCCTGCGCACAAAGCAATATTTTATACAGTGTGTATCTTTTATTGTTGACACTTATAACACAAAGGGATAATAAATAAATAGTACGCAAACAAAAAATGACATTTGTTGACGCGTTGCTAGGTTACTGACGAGGTTCATGATTGGGGGAGCTACACTGGCGTGACCGCGTAGTTATGAAGCGTTACTGTATGTCGAAATAAAAGTGGTCTTTCAACCTTTGACCTAATGTCACGATCGAACAGTACTTGTCAGTACTATCCTTCAAATAGAAAACTCTATTTGGCCATGTAAGTGTCGCCATTTCAATATATATTAATTGGATTAAAATCGGTATTTTGACCGATGGCTAGAGCGCTCATCGTCGCTAGAGGGCGCAAATCATAGAAACAGTATAATGTGGGTCAATCATGAAATAATCTCGCAGAAAATTGCAAAATTATCATTGTTCCTATGATTTCACAGTGGTTTATAATAAAAAAAAATATACCAAAATATTCAGAGTTACCGCTCTCTATGACAAAAAGTCACAATATTGTTAATTAGAAATTATAATAATGATATGAAAATTCGAAAAAACACACATTTATTTCAGGAACATTCGTAATCATAATGTTCTTATTACAAAAAATCGCTATTTCATGACACATTATGGCATATCTTCAGTAGCAAGCTCTGTAATATGCTGAATACAAAACTCGAATTACAAACATCGGGTTAGCGTGAATTATACTCAATCTATGATGTTAAAAATCAGACAGAAAATCTAGTAATTAGGTATCATAGAAACAGCTATATATTATTCCGGCTCTGATGAACTCGACCTTCTCATTACAAGTTCCTTCTTTTCACCACAAATTCACATAATAGTATCGTTTATAGTCTGCACATTCCTTCAGAAGAATGGGACAAAAATGCCGAAATGTTTGAGTAAAAACTGAAAATTTACTCAAATTTTGTTTGTTAGCCCCAAAATTAGGGTTCATTTCCAGAAATATTGAAGAATATTAAAAAAAGTGCAGAGACATTTGGGCGAGAAAGTCTGATGATGAAAAGATTAATGAATGCCCGAAAAATAAGGTCATTATAGTAGGTTTCAGGCTGCATATTTTAAGTTACCTTCAGACTATTTTATCATTTGGTAGCAAAATATAATGTATTTAAATCTGTTGTTCCAGAGAAAACTATTTATTTAAGTGCGCTGGTACAGACAATCTGGCGCCACAATAACTGAATGATAGTTAATAATATTACGTGGCGTTTTGTGAAAACGAAAATTCTCAGCAGGCACGTAAAGGGGGTTAATGCGATGATATGAGGTTATTACGAGAATACCTCAAAGTGTGCACTCAGACGGTATAGCGGCAGTATCGACAGCGTACTGTCTGAGTGCATTACTTGAAGTATTCTCGTAATAACCTTACTATTTTACATATTTTCCTTAGGATACATCATGGGATGCCGAAATCCAAAAAAGTTTAGAACAGAATCAGCGAACTTTTTTGTGTAGCAGCCATGCTTGTTTTTATTATTAGAGGACGCTTACGTGCGTAATCATTCCATATTTGGAATTCGCATTTCCTAATATGGTAGGAGGAAAATACCCCATAAAATACCTCAACATTACTGCACACTGTAACTTATGGCGTTACGGTGACAGATGTATAATAATATAGTATATTCCTTGGGTATGTCTGCTCCGATTAGAGAATGCAATTCATGAAAATACAATGAGTGAATTATAGAATATTCTCAACAAGAACTGGCTAGAGTCGACGTCGTATACACACATATACCACTGGTGGTAATGTGATCCATTGATTTAGGTGTGTGTTTATTAATGAGAACACAACGAGGCAGTACATCATTAGAAACTGCGCACCTTGACATCGTGTTACCATAGTAGCAGTACGTAAA